TAGTTAATTGCTATTGTGTGTTCTTCAGTTTGTGAAGCAGGCTGGCTGGCAGAGAGCTTGCGTCTAAAAATAGAGCATGTTTACTCTGCTGGCAGCTGCTCAGTTTCAGTTTTTCTTTGGACTTTGCCAGTAGCAGTTGAGTTTTGGAGTTTCTGAGTTTCTCTTTGTACTTCTTAGCTCTCAGATGTGTGTGCTGAATAAATACTATTCCTTCTTCAGCCAAGGCCCCAAGGACCTTTTTGCTGGTTACCTAGCTCATAGACCTATGGGTTTGTGAATGGGCTCAAGGGGTCTGTGAGAAGACCCCAGCCCTAGCTCTACAATTGGCATAGTCAGAGCAGGATTCTGAGCGGGTACAGAAGCCAAGAAGCCCTTGGAGAAGAGTAAATGTGGCTACTTTTGAACATGTTAGGCCCCGTGGCCACTTTCCTATTGACAAGGATCTCGTTCCTGCTCACTGTAATGCAAGGGAGCATAGACCGGACACTGAAGCAGAAAGCCCCTTCGGAGGGGGAGGAAATGTGGCTATCTTTGAGCATGTGGTGCTCAGTTGCCACTTTTCTGCTGACCGGAGCCTGGCTGCTGCTCACTCTGCTGCAAACTGATTGAGAGCTGAAGAAGAAAGCAGAGTTGTTGGAAGCCTGGACAATTGTCCTGGAGGATGATGTACAGCAACTGGAAGATATGAAGCAAAAAGGAGAGTTGTTGGAAACACAGATAAATGTCCTGGAAGACGACATGCAGCAACTGGCCACTCCAGCTTCTCATACCAGCGAAGACGATGAACCCAGTGATGAGTTGGGGGACACTGCGTCCCCAGGTATGGCCTGTTGTGCATCAGAAAATGAAGCACTAGCAGCCTGTGGGACCAGGCGGGCAACCAGTGGGCAATCCACAGATGACCCAGCTTACCACCTATGTTGCATATCCCCAGGTTGAGTTAGTTGACTTGGCGAGACAGTTTCAGCAGAAACAGGGGGAGCCCCTTGCTGCTTGGCTGTTGCGGTTATGGGATCTAGGGTTGGATAGTGTGATATGCTCTGGTGATGAGATGGAAAAATTGGCCTCCGTCACCAGGCACCCGTCCCTGAGGCAGTGGCTGCAGAATAGCCTCAGGTATGCACAAGGGCCAGGTAATCACTCCTTAATGGACTGGGTGAGTGCAGCTGCCTGAACCATGTGGGCAAATGCTGGAGAACTGCCCAAGATTGTTAGTAAGTGGCAAACGTATGCTGAGTTAGTTCAAATAATTTGAGAGCTGGGGATGCGGCACTCCATGTTTAATGTGAACGCTCGTGGCCTGGACAATGAAAATTTTATAGGCAGCATGAGAGACATAGTGCTGCAGAATGCCCCATCAATGTCCTTTGGGTCACTGATGGTCATACTGGCCCCATACATTGGTCGTCCTATACATGAGGTAATGACCATGATAGCCAGCTTGGGTTAAGTAGAGGATAGCAGACAAGCAAAATGTGTCTGAAAGGTGGTGACTAAGACCAAACTCCCAAGAAGTACTCAGGATTTTATCCCGAGAGCACCAAGCAAGACTAGCTGTAAGTAGACGTGGCTTGACCTGCTTGCAGTAGGGGTTGACAAAAAGAAAATTGACTGGCAACCAAATGCAGTTCCGTTTGCCTTGTGGCAACAATTGCACTCTGAACAGCATTTCACCAGACGTCCAGAAACAGGTAGCAAGGGATGCTCAGTGGATTTAAAGGATTTTTTTTTATTGTTCTTGAGGAGGCAGATGAACTGTTCCATTCTGATTAGGGAGCAGGCCAAGGTGCTCATCTTTTGGGAGCAGGCGAGGACTGGAGGCCTCATGTTGAATTGGCAATGATGAAGTTGATGCACTGGCTAAGGTAAGGTGGCTGGAGAGAGCTCCAGCAGCTGATGTAGCTGGGTGGCTACATTAGAGAATGCAGCATGCTGGCTGAAAAGCCAGGTGGTCAGTGCCTCGCCGGGTGCCACATTAACCCAAGAAAAAAATGCCCTAATGGGCAGATGTGCTCCCAATGAGCAGATAGGTGCCCCCGATGGGCAGATAACTCGTGTGAGAGTGCCCTTGACGCAGTAGCAGGTGGATCTTGTGGGACCATTGCCAAGGTCAGAGAATTTCAGATACATCTTCACAGCTGTTGATATGGCTACTGGTCTGTTTGTATGGCCTTGTAAGACCCCAGACCAGGTAAACACTGTGAAGGCATTAAATAGCCTTACTGCTATGTGTGGCTGGCCTGTGGTTATAGAGAGTGATAATGGAAACCACTTTACTGGACATGGGGTTCAGAGGTGGGCCTCCCAGTTGCCCATTCCGTGGAAGTTACATGTGCCATATCATCCCCAGGCAGCGGGAATGATTGAATGGTACAGTGGTCTTTTAAAAAAGGGACTAAGGCTATCTACCCAACCCCCATCCCTGAAGGGGTAGTCACCTCAGTAATGGCCAACAGTCAGAATTCTAAATGAGAGACCCCACAAAGGCGAGCCCTCTCCAGTGGAAGCTCTGTTGCGTAGGGGTGCAGCACCTATACAACTGCAAGTCACTACTAAAGGTGAGCTTTTGAAGCCAGGATATGGTTAGAATGGAAATATTCTCTTACTGGCCCCAACCTGTTTGCAACAGGGACAGACAATACAATGGGAATGGCCTTGGAGAATAAAAGCCCCCATATATGCTGGTATAGCTTAATGGGGCCTTGGAGAAAAGGATAAGAGGAAGGCTTGCAAGTTTCACCTTCGGTGACAAGTACCTGGCCTCCTCAAGTAATATGGCCTGGAACAGGTAAGTGCTCTATTCTAAAAGGCACACTTGTATTATCAGTATGGCCAATTATGAGTTCCCCTATACTGTTACATGTAGAACCTATAGGTCCCACAGTGTTAGCAGATAAAGTATGGTATCATAAACCAGGTAAGATACCTATTCCTGCAACCAGGAAACTGGCATGTATCTAACCAGAGGGGCAAGAACTTCCCCTATTGGTTCCAATAACCCTTTTGTCTTTTCGCCCATAGTGTTCTGGCTGCAGGCACTGCACCAGAGCCAACTGGGTACTTACATACATTGGCGTGATCATCTATGAATGTACACTGAACTTCACATCAGTATGACTACAAAATTCCCGTGGAAAATCACACCAGTGATGACTACTAACCGGACATGTGTGACTAAAGGACAGAACTACAGGACAAGCCTTAAGCCATATCGAATAGACAATGGGTTGTATAAATAAAAGGGTCATTTATCCTCACTAAAGGAACATCATGGAAGATTTTTAACACGTAGATTGTACGGTGAGGGACCCTGAAGGGGTGGATTGTGGGGAAAATAGGATAATTTAGTCAGGCTCCCTCCACATTTCTTTGTAAACAAGTGTGGGTGGAGCTGGTGCACATGTGCACCCATGTATCTTTCTAGTTAATTGCTATTGTGTGTTCTTTAGTTTCTGAAGCTGGCTTGCCAGCTTGTGTCTAAAAATAGAGCATGTTTACTCTGTTGGCAGCTGCTCAGTTTCAGTTTTTCTTTGGACTTTGCAGGTAGCAGTTGAGTTTTGGAGTTTCTGAGTTTCTCTTTGTACTGCTTAGCTCTCAGACATGTGTGTGCTGAATAAAGACAATTCCTTCTTCAACCAAGGCTCCAAGGACCTTTTTGCCAGTTACCTAGCTCATAGACCTATGTGTGAAGGGTTTGTGAACGGGCTCGAGGGGTCTGTGAGAACCAGACTCCAGCCCTAGCTCTACATAATCTCATTCATGAGGTCTCTGCCCTCATGACATAATCACTTCGTAAAAGTCTTACCTCTTAATACTGTTGCATGGGGAATTTAAGTTTCGATATGAATTTTGCAAGAGACACAAACACCAAATCATAACAAAGGTTTTTCTGTTCTCAAGGTTGTGTTGACTCATTTATGTAGCTTTACATTTCATGTAACAAACAAATATTTATTAAACCCAAGGCCCACTCAAATATTAATTATTGACCTCCATTTTTTATAAACATCAAAGTGGGGAGAAAAAAAATAGACTCTGTAGACTCCCATTATGCCTCACTGGATTAAGTACATTCCTGGTTTGAGGAAAATGTTCTCAAGGCTTTAACAAAAACTACAGAGCCTGCAGAGAAGGGGGAAAGGGATTTGGGGGTGGGGAGGAGGGGGATGTCCGAGGCTAACCTTTATTGAATATTTACTATGTGCCAGGCACTGTATTAAACTCTTTAAGTGGATTACCTCATTCATCCTCACAACAGCTTCACAGATGAAGAAATTGTGAGGCTAAGTAACAGGAATTCTGCTGCCAGACCTTGTATTATTACTAAGCTCTGCTCTGCCTCTTTCTTAACTACCTTTTTCCTCCTATTCCATTTGGGAGCGGCAAGGGGCTCATAATATTTCCTAGCCACAAGGCTAATCCCATAATTACCCTGAGTTCTTTGCCATGCCTACCTCCTGATATTACCTAAGCTTTGGCTCTTTCTTGGCTTTGAGGTTCAGGAAGATGCAAGGTATATAACAGAAAATGCTCAACACACAGTATGAGCATGAAGCATGACATCCTTCAGCCCTCACTTTTCGTCATGCATAGATGCCCACATTAAAGCTTATTATAGACAATCAACTTATTTGCTGTGGTAGAAGTGGGGTAGATGAGGAGTCTGTAATCCTAGGACTGGTACACCTAACACTTACTTAACTAGTGCTGGTTAGATAGAAATACAAGTATACTCAATGTGTTTAGGTATATTTTAGTATTTAGCGTTATGTAAAAATACGGAAAAAAACAATTAGATTTCTGGGTTTTTCATATATATTTTCAGTTTCTTCTCACTTTGGAAGGCAGCATTTCTGTCACTTTGAATCTGTCACAGAAACAGATATTATATGCCTCTCATAAATATTTGTATTCATTTAAACAAAATGTAAAGTCAATCTCTCTCAAGGAAATCAATCTCATACTGAACTGAGAAAATTGTTTTTTCTTATGTTTTGCAGACTTTGAATAATGAGATGAGTACAGATGATGACAATGAATATGCAGAAGAAAAGGATAGCTACATCTGTGCAGTATGTCTGGATGTTTATTTCAACCCTTACATGTGTTACCCTTGCCACCACATCTTCTGTGAGCCCTGCTTACGGACTCTGGCCAAAGACAATCCTGCAAGCACTCCCTGCCCATTGTGTCGGACAATTATTTCTAGAGTCTTTTTCCAGACAGGTAACTGTTCTCTTTCATTAACATGATTGTCTGATTATTCTGCCTACCTCTTTGTTCTAGTTCTAAAGGTACTTTATAAATTATTATGAAAAAGTTATTGAAAATCATATACAGCATAATTTGTTACTCTTCAGTTTGTAAAATAGTGCTTGCCCAACTCATAAACTATGTTAGAATCATAAAATTACAGATGAGAATAGGACCTCATCTCTAATTCCCTACTCTACACTCAGATCATTTCACAAACACCCTGATTAATTGTTCAGTTTTTACTTGTACTTGTCCGGTGTCAAGGAAATTCCATCTGAAGCAGTGCTGTTCAGTATTTATTTCTCATACTGTCCTCCACTACAAATCATCCTTTGGCCCTTGTTTATTTCCTCTGGAGTCTCAGAAAATTCATCTACACATATCTGAGTACAATTATTATGCCTGTCCCTCAAACTCCAGATCTTCTCAAACTTCTTAATGTTCTTAAGGTCTTTCTTTTTGAACAAGAAAAAGATAAAATTGGAGCAAGGATTTGTTTACCTAATTGTCATGAAAAGATGGAATATAACACAGTATTTAAAACATCTTAACGGAGAGATAAAAACTAATGAATGTAGAATATAGAGAACTACTGTAAAAAACGGGTACGATGATAGTGTGCACTACTGTGTGCTACATGTTAAGTGTGCTACATGTTAGGGGGAAAAATTGCTATCTCCATTTTTCACCTCCGCCATAGAAGAACCGAATGGGGGTCAAAATGTGTACTTCATTAATAGTAAAATGAAGAGAATATACACACGTATTTTTCTTCCCTGAAAGAAATCCAAGGACCCATCTGCATGGGAGAAGCAGATTATTAAAGTACACTTTGAGTACCCTCACCCAACAAGCTGCATGAAGGTTTGCAAACCTGCCTTATAGGCTCAGTAATCAAACAACGAAGAGAAAGTAAAGAGGTGTCTCTCTCATATGAGAAGTGCATGTAGACTGCAGCCCCAAATCACTGCACTGACCTCAGGCAGATGTGGAGACAGGAGGACACACCAAGCATAGTGACTGTACCAGTTGTGACACCAGACTGTCATCATTTTCACCAGGTGGTTCAGTTATTCCTCCTTTCGTGGAGAAGAACAAGTAAGGGGTGGAGAGAGGAAAGGAGGCACTTCCATGAGAGGGCAGAAGCTTACTGGGAGTTCCTCTTCTCTGGCCTATGGCTGGAACTTTGAGGTGGGAGAAAGGGGCTCTTTTCTTATACTAGAGCCCCTGCTGGGTTCTTTGGGGTGAACAAAGAGAGGAGTACCAATGACATCTCTTTCTCAATGTTATCTCTTGCCAGCTATGCAAGAAAGCATTTAGTAAAATCTCGTTTTCATAGGAAGCATCAAGGCAGGGTACATAGTGTTTAGACATGCTGTCCCTGCCTTCCATGCTCTCGTTTAACACTGGTAGGGATTATGACATTTATTTACTTTAGGTCTTAGAACAGTAATGACTCAAGCCTTTCTTGGTTCATTTATCAAAACAATTTCACATTTTTCTTTGTTTTCAAAATCAGTGCTTCTAAAATAAATCATACTGGGAATACTTATAGTCTCTTCCAGTGAAGATTATAATTAGTTATGCACTATCATTTAGAGGCTGATAATAATAATGGGAATGCCGCCACACTCCCAAGCGGCGCACTGTAGCAGTGCGCCACCGGGCCGGCCCCTATGGTCCAGTATTCTTATAAAATTAACTTTTAAAAATATGTGAATAACACGGTTTCATTATAGGGAAATCAGAAAATACAAATAAGTAAAATTACAAGCTCCAAATCACCCATATTCCTAACATTTAAAGACAACTTTAGTGAATATCCTTCCAGAATATTTTGTATACAGACTTAATCTTTTTTGTTGTTTTTACAAGAAAAATAAAATCAGATTATATTGTACGTATGGTCTTCAACCTGCTTTGTTTGTTTAACTTAAAGTTCTTATGGTGATTTCATGCTCTACTTAGCCAATCTACTCTTTTGGAACATTTAGTTTATTATTTATAACTTATTTATTGATCGATATATGAGGATAAATATTTGAACACATCTCAGAGTATTTTCTAGGGATAAATTTCCAGAAGTAGAAATGGTAAAGACTACATATTTTTAAGGGTATGCATGTGTTGCAAAATTATGCTCCAAAATTATTGTAAGCAGCAATATTATGAAAGCTACAGTCTTGGCTATTGTAATTTTCCTTTTTAAATCCCTAACTATGAGGATATTTTTATATTTGATGTCAACTTCTGTCATATAAGACGAATAATTTTCACTTTTTGTCATTTGTACTTTAATTTTGTGTATGGTATTTCATGAATGTGCAGAACTGTATTTTTATGTAGTCTCATGTGGTGACCTTTGCCTTTATTATTTCTAATCTCAAAGTTAGGTATTAAAAGGCTTTACCTACTACAAATTATATAAACATTCACTTTATCTATGTTTATTTTAGGTTTCATTTTACCCTCATTTACCCACATTTAATCCAATCCATATATTGTGGTGCATGGTTTGGTTAAGAACAAAGTACTATATCTTTTTTCCATTCCTTAGGCATGTATTCCAGCGACATTGGTTAACCAATCCATTTTTCTTCTGCTGATTGAATTGTCTTCCTTTAAAAAAGCAATGATAATAATAATTATCAAAATGTGTGTTTCTTGACAACTATTTTTTTATTCACCATTCTCTCTTGTCCTATACCATTAATTTGCTCTTATAATTATTCTAGCACATATTATAATAACTCACAAGTTAATTAAACTTATAGGTTAATTTGGGGATAATAGGCATTTTATTTTGTTTTTTAATTCATTTTTAATTGAAAAATATGGTTTTTTTTATCATTACACAATATAAGCATTTTTTGTGGTCCTTTACCAAGTTCTACCTAACATCCCCTCCCCCTTTCGCACCTTTGGTGGCCTCAGTTCCATTCTCTCCTTTTGAAAGTTCCAGAAATTATTGCAATTGTTGTACCTTTCTTACTTAGTTTTTCTTTTTTTTTTTTCAGTTCCAACTTATGAGTGAGGATATGACATATTTCTCTTTCTGTACCTGGCTTATTTCACTTAACATAATTTTCTCTAAGTTCATCCATGTTGCTGAGTAGTATTCCTTTGTGTGTATACACCACATTTTCCTTATCCATCATTCATCAATGGGCATTTAGGTTGGTTCCAACTTCTAGCTATTGTACATAGAGCTGTGATAAACATGGAAATGCAGGTATCCCTTCAACATAATGACTTCCATTCCTTTGGGTATACACCCAAGCAGCTGGATTGCTGGGTCATATGGCAGTTCTATCTGTAGTTGTTTGAGAAACCTCCATACTGTTTTTCACAATCACTGCACTAGTTTACAGTCTCACCAACAGTGTAGGAGTGTTCCCCTTTCTCCACCTCCTTACCAGCATTTGTTATTGTCTATCATTTTGATACTTCCCAGTCTAACTGGTGTGAGATGGAAAGTAACTCAACACAATAAAAGACATTTATGACAAGCCCACTGCCAATATCATCCTAAATGGGGAAAAACTAAAGGGTTTTTGTTAAGAAGAGGAACAAGACAAGGATGCCCATTCTTACCACTCCTATTTAGCATAGTACTGGATGTTCCAGCTACAGCAATTAAGCAAGAGAAAGAAATAAAGGGCATCCAGATTGGACAAGAGGAAATCAAACTGTACATGTTTGCAGATGAGGTGATCCTATATAAAGAAAAACCTAAAGACTCTACCAAAAAACTCTTAGAGCTGATTAATAATTTCAGTAATGTTACTGTATATAAAATCAATACCCCGGGCTGGCCCGGTGGCGCACTGCTACAGTACGCCACTTGGGAGCGTGGCGACGCTCCCGCCGAGGGTTCGGATCCCACATACAGACCGGCCACTCACTGGCTGAGCGAGGTGCGGGTGCAACACCAAGGGTTGTGATCCCGTTGCCGGTCCCAGTCCGGTACGGGGGCGACACTGAGGGTTGCGATCCGTTGCCGGTCACAAAAAAAGACAAAAAGGAAAAAACAAACAAACAAAATAAATAAATAAAATCAACACCCCAAAATTAGTTGCTTTTATATTCTCCAATAATGAACTACCAGAAAGAGAAATCAGGAAAGTAAGTTCATTCACAACAGTCACTCTAAAGGTTTCTTTAGGCCTAATAGTGTTTGCTTTATATATCTGGGTGCCTCATTTTTAGGTGCTATGTATATATAATTGTTATGTCTTCTTGTTGGATAGATCCCTTTATCATTATATAGTGTCCTTTCTTTTCATGGTTAATTCTATTTTATCTGATATAACAATAGATACTCATTTTTAATTTCTATTTGCATGGTATATCTTTTTCCATCCCTTCACTATCAGTCTGCGTGTGTCTTTACAGGTGAGGTGAGTCTTTTGAAGATAGCACATAGTTGGGTGTAGCTTTTTAATCCAGTCAGTCAGTCTGTGTCTTTTGAGTGGGGAATTTAATCAATTTTCATTTAGAGTTGTTATTGAAAGGTATTGTCTTACTCCTGGCACTTTGTCAATTTTCATTTGTATATGTTAAATATTTTTTGTTCCTTTCTTTCCCTTTTATTGTTTGTCTTTGATATTTGTTGGTTTTTTAAGGTAGTTTTATTTAGTTTCTTTCCGTTTCTTGTTTGCATTTTTGTTCTACCACTGGGTTTTGTTCTTTCTTGTGTATTCATGGTAGTGATTATCATTTTTCAAATTCCAGATGAAGGACTGCCTTGAAGATTTCTTATAGGGCTGGTCATGTGGTGGTGAACTTCTGCAGTTTTTGTCTAGAAAATACACTATTTCTCCCTCATTTCTGAAGGATATCCTTGCAGGGTATAGTATTCTTGGCTGGCGGGTTTTTTCTTTCAGTATATTGAATATATCATCCCATTTTCTTCTCACCTGTAGATTTTCCTTAGAGAAGTCTGCTGTTAGTCCAATAGGGGCTCTGTT